TACTGAGATAGAATTTCCCAGTGGAATTAAAATCAGAACACATTAAACTCTGTTAAAGTTTAAAATTTCTACAGAATATAAACATTTACACAACTCTTATTTTGCATATTTGTCTCCCTCTATTCCTCTAAAAGAGCAGAGCACTTTGAACAGAATTATTTGCCAAATATTACTTGCCTGGGTGCCAAGAAACTTAGAGAACAATTTCTAATAAAGCATACTATATCCCATAATAAGTAAAATTTTTATTTCAACACACAAAGATCATAAACAGGCCTAGATACAAGTATTGGCAAGTAAATTATTTGGTAGCAAATCCTTCTCTTGCACATAGTACAGCTGCGTTTTGAAATCTGGACTACTTCACAGCACAAGATTAATACCAAGATTACAAAGAGGAGTCAAAATTTTAAGGCAAAATATAAAACTCAACTGTATTAAAAAGTAAGTTCTTTTCCTCAAGAAATATTGCAATCGAGGTACAATATACCTTTCACTTGCTTCTACCCTTGCCCGAAAAATTTAACTTTGATAACTTTATTTGGAAAACTTTAAAAGTACTTACATTTTAAGGTAGTAAAGAGTTATGCCTAAATATAAAAGTGCGCAAATGCAAACAGAAAGGTTTTCAGTGAATAAAAGCAGTGTTCAGAATGTCCTTGCTATCAGTTTTGCATTCCAGGTTCTCTTAAGGATAAGTAAGTAGCCAGCACCTTGGTGCCATTTTAATAAGGTAATTTTCAGAACCTCTGTGAAGTGTAAGATTCCATGAGGCACATATTTACTTGTTCTTTAGCTAAGTAACACAGAGGCACGGTACTGAGGAAAACTCAATTATCTGTCATTGAGTAGGTCTGAAAATAGCTAATGATAGTTATTTCTGGGAAGTGATATTATGGGTAATTGTTTCTATTTATCTACACTTTAAAATTTCTCAATAAACACCATAAATTTGATAAAAACATATTACCCCTTCATATAAAAATAACCTTCTCACTTAGTAATTTTCCTTCTAGGAATTTACCCCTAGTTCCTCCTCCCTGAAAAAATTAAAAATGCAGACAAAGAGTTATATACACAAAAATTATTTACTGCAAATTATTCATTGTAAGTTAACACTAGAAACTATATAATGTTCAATAATAAGGAAATTATTAAGTAAAATGGATTCATCTGTAAGGTAGAACACGGAAGCTATTAAAAATGTTTTATAAAATTACATGTAATAAGCAAAATTCTCAGGCTATAAGTGGAAAGAGAGATACAATTTATATAGGTGTACCTATACGATCACATCTATGGAAAAAATGCATTAAAAAAGATGACTAGAGGTAAATATGCCATAATGTTAGGAATGATTTATTCCTATTGGTGAAGAAAGTATACATGTACATTTTTGTGTACTATTGTTTATATATTTTCTACATTAAGACTGTATTTCTTTAATAGTCAGAAAACAAGAAAGTTTAAGGGCACAAGTCTTTTCTGAAATTTTATTTAACAGACAAAAAAACTAGCCATATAATCAAAGGAAAAAGTTCTTTGCTAGTATAGTACTATAAAAGAAAACATTATGCAAGGACACTTACAGCATAGCAAACTTGCAACCATTATTGCCTAAAATATTTTAACAGTCTAAATGCTATTATTATTAATTTCCCACTATGCTAATTTTATAAAATTAGCTACTCTAATTCATAAACCACAAACCAATATTACAAAGCTTTTATGAAGTGCTATATTAGAAAGCTGGATTATACTACTACCTGACTTCCCTTTTGTGTACAAAAATTTACACAGAGGTCTAACATGAGAATACAGTTTTGGATTATTATGTACTTATATTTCTTAATGTTCAGCTATTTGATAGATTAAACTAAAATGAACATCTCTTTTGTCTATTTTATTTCTAAAAGGCAAACAGTCTTGATCTCCCAAACTCTGTAGAAAACATAATTTTTGAATAATACAGAACAAGAGATGGAGAAGAGCCCATTAAAAATAAAACGGTGCAATTATTCATGACACTGATGTTCAACCTAAGCCCTAATATTTGCCTTGGGTATAAATTTGGGAATAAAATACCTCTAAGTTTTAAAACACAGAAACATAGTGATATTAAAGTATACTATATTGAAGAATATTTTATAAGCAGTAAGTATAATGAATGACATTTACTGATATTGTCTTTATACATAGTTTTCACTGTAATTAATGTACTGTGTTTAGCAATGAGAACCTAAAATAATCTTTAAAAAACTTTAGTTTCCACTAGCCTTTTATTTATATTTGAAGTAGTTGTTGTATTTATTAAAGACATAAATATACAGTAAATATATTTTTTAAAACCCTCATTAAGAACAAATAGTATACTTTAAGAAACACTTGTACCTGCGCCCTAGCTAAACAATTCTAAGTGCAAATTACCATAAAAGTCCATAGCAACATCAAAAAATTTGAAATCTACAGGAACTTTTCTCTTCCTTAATCACCTTGCAGTTTTACTCATCTTTAATATCTCCAATCACACCAAATTACCACAAACACACTCATCTATGTGAAATGCACATTTAAAAATAATTCTTTTTTTCCTCACCTGAAGACTTTTTTTTTAAATTGTTTTGAGAGAGAGGAAGGGGGAGAGAGAGAGAAAAATATACATGAGAGAGAAACATCAATTGGTTGCCTTCTGTGCCCCAACCAGAGAGCAAACCCTCAACCTAGGTATGCACCCTGACTGGGAATCCAGCCAGCAATCCTTTGGTTACAGAAGGAAGCTCCAACCAAGCCACACTGGCCAGGGCCACATCATTGTTTTTGTATGTTTTGGAAAACTTTAGACAAGCACAAAGGAGATGGGTTCTGTGGGGTAGAAATTTAGCTCTTAATTTAAGATTTTAAACACATATACTACACACACAATTCAGGATCTGGGTGCTCTTTCATCATTTGACCTGTGCCTTCAATTATAAATTGATCTCACTCTGATAGCCAAACCACGATACTACTCCACAGTGCCCCCTAGCTCTAAACTGATATACAAGATATATCAATTGAAAATGGACATCTTTTGAACTGTCAAGCTCAACAGAAAGTGTCAGTCACTACGATCTCACCTAAGCAGTACTTACTGTATTACTTAATTTTCACCTAATAAATAACAGCTGACTTAATTAAATATTGCTACTAATACTTATAAGAGCTGATGAGAAAAATGTTATGAAATTGATGGGTTTGGAGTTCAACCATAATATATATGCATGTATATATAAATATACACATATGTATAGATATATATACACACAAACACATAGGTCCAAAGTTCTGTAGGAGCTCTCTGTAACATGCAATTTGATTTTTAAAGTCACTAAGCAAAAACCCATATAAAAATACACATTAAAAATGCCTTCTTTTCACATAATTTAAGGGGAAATGCTGTATTATTAGATTACGGTTTCTTAGAAGAGTGGAACCAATTTCTTCATTTAAAAAAATGCTGCGACGAGATTAAATAATCTCATTACAGTCACATTATTTATCATTACAAACAATCTAAATTGCTAATACTGAAATGTGTGAGAGGAAAACCTGTGATCTTGGTCTTATGCTAAAAAATGTCCTATTTGGGTTACTTCAGGATCAGTAAGGGAGAGTTAAGAACGAAGATGATGTAATAACATATACCCCTTCTTTTTGGAAATGGGCTCCACAAACCAAAGGTAAACAAAACTTCTAAGAAAAGCAGCTATGAAATCACACAAGTTTTAAAATGCCCTTCACCATACACTGCTCTTCAGGAAAGTAGGAAGGTCCTATGTTATTCCACATTCAAACTTTAGTACCTCCACGCTAATATAGGAAAACTGAAAAGGATGGAAACTGGAAAAAAAAAATAAACAACTGAAAAAGAATGCAATTCCAGAACAACTACAATGAGGCAGAGTGCAGTATGTCAAAAACACAAGGGTTTATTCTAAATAATGGTTTTGTTTCTACTGTTTTTTCTAAAGTATTTAATTTGCACGTCTAAAAGTAGAGACCCTTAGGAGAGCAGCTGAGGCAAGTGGAAGGAAAGGTGGCGGGGCGGGGGGGGGGGGGGAGCGGGAGTAGATAAGAACAGAGAATTGTGAGAAAAGATGTGCGGTGCATTAAAATGTGCAATGGAGGGGGGATGCTGAATTCATCGTCGGGAGCAGTTGAGGGCTTTATGAGCACAGAGCGTAATTTGCTGCGGGTTAAGGAATGCGTATTCACAGCCAGAAGGCACACCTGGTAAAGGGACAACCCAGGATAAGAAAGACCAACCCACAAACCGGGCAACTGCAAAGATGACCATTTTAACCAGTTCCATTGTCTGGAGTGTTAGATGAAATGCCTCAGGCACGAAATCAAGCTAGCCGGTCACCAAATCAGAGACACTGTCGGGCAAAAGGAGGGAGAGAAGATGGGCAGAGGTCGTCCGCGCATTCTCGGCCACGGGGGCCCCCTTCCTCGCGGGGCCGTGGGGGGCTCCGAGGTCACGGGGAACACAAGATGCCCTGTCTCCGGAGTCCGAGCGCGGGCTGTCCCCACCAAGGGGCTGGCGACGTCTCTCACCGCGCAGCCCAGGAGCACCGAGACTTCCCCTCCTACCCCACCCCCAGCTGAAAGCAGGGAAGACGCGGAACTTAGGCTCCCAAGCGGAGGCCACAGACCAGGTCACGGCCAGAGTGGAAGGCTCTGGAGGAAATTCCGCGTGGCCACCGGGGATGGCGTAGGGAAGGCAAAACCCTGGCTGGTCGGGCTTCTAATCGGACGACACTAGGGTCCAAGTGACCGGGCCCCGATCCCCTTGGCGCTCACCGATCCCCTGCACCTCCTGGGTCCTCACAGTCCCAGGCCCTCTCTCCTCAGCTAGTGACCCTGCCTCCCGGGTCTTCCCGCTGCAGCCGCCCCTCTCGGTTACCAGTTTCTCTCCCGAACCCTCGCCTCGGACACTCCAGCCGAGCCCCGGGCCGCACCTCCGTCTTGGTGATCCGGTGCCGCCCCAGCTTCACCACCGCGAAGTTGCCCTTGCCCAGCGTGCCCTCGATGTCGTAGAACCCCACCCGGACCGGCCCGCGCTGCAAGTGCCTCGGGCCATCCGCCATGACCATGCTGGGCCCCGCTGCTAGACACGGCGGACTGGAGCGCGGGCTGGCTGGCGCGCGGGCCGCGCGGCTGAGCTCGGGCGAATGCCGCTGGGGCTAGCTCCTCCGCTTCGTCCCTCCAGCTCTGCAGGGCCCAGCCAGGCGCGCGCCGCGGCTGACGTGCGCCGACGTCAGGGGGCCGCGGCAGGGGGCGGGGGCGGGCCCGGGCCCGGGCCTAGATTGGTCACCATGGCGACCGGAGCAGCGCCGACGTCGGGGCGGGAGGGAGGCTGGGAGGGAAGACGGGCGGGGCCTGAACTGCTCGTTCCTTCCGGGCTCCGGCTCTCTACGCTTTGCTAGCCGCCTGGCTGCAGCCACGGGCGGGGATAACCCCAGCCCTCCCAGCCCCTCGGTCTCCCAGTGGAAGGCCAAGAGCGAGCCCTGGTGGACGGAGCGGATGGGTGCAGGGAGCGGGACCCGGCCCGCGGTCTCCTTCCCGAGCTCCAGCGTTCTCCGCCCACCCCACGGACCTTCCCGCCAAAAACTCTCACCTGTGACTACTAAATTTGGCAAGGACAGAGAACTGTGGCTGAGCAATGGATTGCTCACAATTTCCTTTCTTTGTATTCCTTTCCCATTTTGTTTCTGTATAAATCCTTCCACTGTTTGGCATTTCTGAGAGATCATTCTGACAGCATCACGGTCCCTTATAGATTAACAGAAAGCGTTGAAGAGACCCTGGAGAGCTTAATGCAGGAATCTATAACCTCAGAACGTATGTAAATTTTTGCTTACTTGAGCTTGTCTCTGGGGAGTTGGGGCTATAGTTTATCAGATTCCCAAACGTGTCGCTGACCCCCGAAAAGGTTAAGATATATATACTTGTCGATTCCAGTTTATTTTCAGATGACGAATCAAGCTCCAGGGAATAAAGAGAATTTCCAAGGTCACTCAGGTAATGCTAGCTAGAGTTAGGACTGCACATCCCAACAGTCTTCCCATATGGTGACCCAAGGAAGCAGTTCCGGTGTTATTTTAATATTTTGAAATATATTATGTGCCTCCAGGTCTTGGTTACTATTTGCCATTCTCCACCAAACGGAATCAAAGTCTTTGGAAAAATGGCTGATTCCAAGGCAGAGAGAGGGAGAGTATTAAATGCCCTTGAAAGACCTTGTGCAGGAAAGAAAGGTTTTGAAAGAGTGATGAGGACATGTCAAAAGGAAATAGGACATGGGGACGTAAAATACAGCCTAAGAAATATAGTCAATAATATCATAATGTAATGGAATATATCATGCCAGTGAGATACTGGAAATATCAGAGGGAGCACTTTGTAAAGTCTATGACTGTCTAGCCACAATGCTGTACACCTGAAACTAATACAAAATAATATTTAATGTAAACTGTAATTGAAAAAATTAAGAAAAACATAAATACATAACCCTGGGAGAAAAGACTAAAAGGATATATAAAAATTAATAATAAACAGTAATTTTTTTCTGAAAAAAAACAGGAGCTAGCTTGAATGTACCTCCACTTAACTAAATGTGGGACAACTTGCATATCACACATGAATAATAACAGAAATGGATTATAACACAATGAGCTTTTTAAACGAACCTACATTTTATTTTTATTTTATTTTTTAATTTTATTTTATATTCTTTGTTTAAGATCTGCTGGCTCTTGAGCCCTCCATGCTCACTGTTCCTGCCCTTCACTCCCCCAAGCAATACCTTAATCTACTGGGAGTTAAGCTGTTTACAAAAGTGAGGAGGGAAATCCTGGGAGGGTTTAAGACTGATGATATTTCTGAATTGACGGGAGTAGTATATTAGATTTCATCTAACTAGACCAAAAGAACTCACATATGTACCCTAGTTAAAAAAAGTTCATATATGTTTTGCCTGTTAGATTAATATGTTTTAATTGCTCTGGGGGTTTCTTTGGAATTCTGAGGAAAGCTACTTACTCAAGAACCAGAAAATGCATGTAGAGACCCACTAGAGCTAACAACCCCCTTCTTTAAAGTATGTCTTTTGAAATGGTGGAAAGAAGGAGAAGAGTCTAAACAAAGAGCATGTATAAATGATCCATGGACATGGACAACAGAGTGGAAATTGACTAGGGGGGGTGGTAGGATGGGTGGAGAAGGGCAAAGGGGGAAAAAAATTGAGACAACTGATAGAATAAACATGATTTTAAAAAAAGAAAAAAAGAAACAAAAAAAATACACAGTATGTCTTTTGAACAGAAATTAAGACTCTGATAGAAATCAGAAATTTCTATCTGATTATTGTTATCAGTAAACCAGGCCAACTACCTACTTGTACAACCTGGGAGTAAGATTTGATTTGGGATGGGAATGAAGGGAATGGCACGGAGGACCAAAATATTTTTGGCAAACCAGATGTTTTGGCAGTTCAATGTGAGTGTGCTTAGTGTCAAGGTTGGAGAAACAGACCAGAGAATGGGGAAAGGTAATGGGGCTGAACCTTAAATAAATCTTGCCTACTTGGAAATGCAGTGGGTGAGCCACTGAGCATTACGGTAGGTTGTAAATGTGATTCTGAAGAAATACATGTGGACTGTTAGAGTATTGCAAACTTGGAATCCATGAATCAATCCAAAAGATCTATTTCACGCTCTCCAATTTCAACCCTGTATGTCTCATGTGCTTTTGCTTTAATTAAATGTTAGCTAAATACGTTTTAACAGTTATTAGTACCATCCAACTCCTGCTTTTGTCCACTGTCTCTATTTTTCCTCTTCTTTCCTCTTCCTCCCGCCCTAGGCACGCGCGCGCGCACACACACACACCACCACCACTACCCTCATGGCCACCCTCAGGAAAAAGAATAAAAGATAGGAGGGAGAAGGAGAAGAAAAGAGAGACTTCATACAATTCCCATCTTTTTCACCTCTGGTTTTAGGATCCTTGAGGTAAGTGCTGCAGTCACCAGATTTCCTATTTGCTTGACCTTTAAAATGTAACACACCCAGCTAATGCTGTGAGTATAACTGTTTGCCATTGATTTGTTACAATAACACTTCAAAAGGCAAAAGGGTACACACATAGAAATAATTAAGAAAGATTGCAAGAGACTGACATAACAATAAATTCTGTAGCATACTTAGAATAAAATGGGCTTAGGAAAAAAATGTGAAATGAGGAGGATAGTTACCAAAGAGGTAATGAAAGAGTAATTTGAAATGTGAGGCAAGAAGACTTCATGGCTCACAGTGCTATACATACTCTGCTTAAGCAGAAAGCCCATGAACTTGAAAAACAAGTAGGTACCATATGTTTACTTGATCATGAACAATGTGTACATTTTTTACTCTTTTATCATTCCTGGACTGAATGAAAGTAAATACACAAGGAGGCTTGGACCTGGATTTAGATTTAGTTCAAATCGAATATTGGTGAACTCTTTATTAGGTGACTTTGCTTAGAAAAAAAACAAAACAGCTTACAAAGCTAGAATGAATACTTTGCTTTTTATATTACAAAAGACAGAAAGTACATGAGAAAATTAAAATCACTGACTCATGCCACTTACAAGTGCTTCTCCGTATCATTAAATGTAGGTATTCCTGAAACATGTGCTAATCTATCAAATTAATGATCATCTGGGTGCCACTGTGTTTAAGTTACTATTATGAAAATAAACTACAGGATTGAGGTAATTTAAAGACAATGTTCTTTAGTTCTTATAAAGGATGGGTAACTATGCCCTGGTTTTAATTTTTTTTTTACACTTAGTTTTAGTTGTGGTAGACCTTTAAATGAAAGATATGTGATCCTCTCTAAGCTTTGAAAATAATTTCAAAATTTTTGAATCTCCTCCCAGATGACAGATTTTCTTAGGATCTTAAATTTGAAAGAGATCTTAGTGTCATATGAGTTCATCTTCCCATCTGATACAGGAATCTCTAGACACTTGACAGATGGTATCAAGCCTTGTTTTACTGCTCCATGCTTCATTACACATCTCACATGTAGTATATGTGAGACAGTTCAGATCAGTAGAAAATGCTTCCTCATACTGATTTCACAGCTGCTTCCTTCTGACTCTTGTCCATAGTTTTTGTTATTTTCCCTGGTGCAAGACATTACAAATAAGCAGACATACACCTATTGTCATATTCTTTCTTCAGTTCTCCAAGCAGAACCTTCCCAAATTCACTGTCAAGCGGACTGTTTCTAGTTCTCTTCCCTTTCTTCTTGTGCTTATCTGGTCTCTGGTTTGTCATTGCCTTTCTGGAAATGTTGTTCCTCAAACTGATTACAGTAGCCCAGATGTAGCCTAAGGGGTACTAAATACTGGCCATCGACCAGTCAGTCCCTCCTTTGATGCAGACACTACACTTTTTTTAATTCAGTCAAAAATTGTGCTAATTTTCTTCTTAGCAGCCACAGCCCCACAGTTAAGATTAACGCCCTCTAAAACCTCTGGTCTTTCAAAACAATTATTATCATCTTCTTTTATAAATGGAAATTTTGATAGTTAAAATATCACCTTGTTTATTTTGTTCATTGTTCCAGATAATAGAAACATTTTGATTCTTCACTCTGCCACCTATCATATGAACTAATCTTTAGTTCCCTGAGCCATCCACAAATTCCACCCGCACAACCTTCTGTATTGTTATTGCAGTCATTTTTTTAATCATTTCTCCTAGTACAAGAGTGTGTCTCAGTAGGTTCATGACTAGATTGGTAAACTGGTAAATAGGGCAAAGCCTAGCCCAGATTTTAAAGTTTGCCATTAGGCATCTGCCAGATGGACTTTCAACAATTTATTGGTCAACACTCATTTAATTTGACCTGGTTTTTCATATAACTGTGAGTTCATGGAAGATTCTATGTCTACGCTGCAGAGATAATATTTTAAAGAGGGTGTGTGATACCAGTGTTTCAACATATAACATAAGGTATTTGACTCTTTCTTTTTCTTTAGTTCATTTTTTTATGTTACTGGAGTATTCTACTAATCTTCCCCAACCCCACTGGGTCGTGAACTTTTTTGGGTAAAATCTTAGTCTTTTTTGAAATTCCTGAACTTTTTAGCAGTATTCAAAAATGCAGTTTTGTTTGACATTTATTGAATTCATGTGCTAGGCACCATGGTAGACCCCGGGGAGGCAAACATGAATAAGGCA